CCATACTAATACGTTAAGTATAGTATAGTAAGTTTAAAGTCAGTGCGATTTTAAGTGTACAGATCTACAAGACAACTGTAATTAATTAGTTTACCTTCATATTCTCATAAAAAGTGGAGAGATTGCTAAATCTTTGGTGATGCACGAGCTATCTTTTTCACCTGTCTTCAAAAATAATTATTGCTGCTACCGGATTCCTTCTAGAGTCATCTCTAGTTATACATAAATTTTCAGCCAATCAGAACAATAAACATTTACAAACATTTTTAACATTTAGTAAGAACATTTATTTCATTAAAAACAGTGCGGAACTTAATTTTAAAAACAAAGTGCGGTTTGTTTGTTTGCGCAATAATTGCATTATTAAATTTATAGTTTCTCTTATCTCGAGATAATCCCAGACAGTAAAGAGTGTATATTTTTTTCCTTTATTGAATTTTTAATTAATAGCATCTCTCTTTACTAATCGATTTACCTTTACATGCATTTTCTGTATAGTGTAGGTTGAAGGTATTTTTTTATCGATTTATTGTATATTTTTATTTTTAACCAACCACGTGTTATTTGTTAGTACATTTTTTGTATTTTTGGGTGCATTTAACCCTATTTTCACCGTTTAATTTTTTTGTTTTAATTCAACCATTTGTTGAATTGTTCAATATATTGTTCTTGTTCAACTAACGCATTTTACTTATCTACTACCAACAAGTTCCCTGATTAAATATTAGATTTAAACATTTGCTTTGGAATATTTTGCCCAGAAGGAAAGATTAGGCTAAATTAATCTTATAGGTAAGTGAGTGGACTATTTCCAAGGAATATATTTTGCATTTATTTATATAGTGTGTTGACAACGTTTAACCAATAATTAAACTTCCATATCTTTTACATATTTGGCCTTCAGAATATAGTTTGTTGTTTCTTATATTTTTTTGACAACTAAGGTTTCTTAGCTTTCCTCTTTTATTTAAAAAAATTAAGTGGCGCCCTTTTTCTATCTTGATTTACTTTTCTATGATAACCTTCCATACATTTTTTTCTATCTATTTCTCTATCGATCTATTTATCTATCCTATTTTATCTTATCTTTATCTTTAACATCAATACGAAATAAAATAAAAAAGGTTAAATTGGACTTTATGAGATATCTACAAATCACCAGAGCAGATAGAATAAGTACAAAGGAAATATTTGACTGAGATTCTAAGGGTTGGAACAACTCAATTCATGATACATTATGACAACCCGTGATACATTATGAGGGTTACAGAATAAGATTTCAAATTCTCACTAAATGTCATTATTTACGTTTGTGAGTCAACAAAAAATGTTTGTCATACTAATGGGTCACAAACCCATAAAGAAGTAGGAATAGGAGCAAACGGTCCTTAACACTATACTATACTTAACATTAAGATGCTAAAAAAGGGTACCTGAACACGTGCCTCAACTCGGCCAAATTATTTATTGACTTTGACCACTAAGCTGAACTAAAGACTTTGAAGTTTACAAATTACGAGTCCGTAACAGCTTAGAACTGAAAACAGTCCGTTAAGCATCTAGCGGACCACAAAAAAAATAACACGTTTATGGGTACTATGGCACAAAATGCAAAATTGGGATTAGAAAAATACTCTAAATCTTACCGGAAAGTTGGATTAGAAAAATACTCTAAATCTTACCGGAAAGTTGGGTCTAGAACAACGAAATGAAAGATGAGAACGGTTGGTGCAGTTCTGCGAGGAGAAAAAATTTATAATTATGAATACGTGGTTTTGTCTACCAAAACGTAGTCTATATAATTAGAAGTCTCCAAGTAATCCAGGAAACAATATTGTAAGAAATAAAATTGATTATATAACAGTCAATGAACGATTTAAAAAAACTGCATAAAATCGGCCAAGTACTCAACTGTTAGTATGGTACAATTGGTCAAAAAAGGCCTAACCCCGACATCCAAAGTAAAAGTTTATTTCCAACACAAATTGTCCTATATGGTTGATATATTGTTTAGTAAAAAGTTACACCATTTTGAGCGTCGTGTTTGGGGGGAGGGGGAGAAAAGTCCGCAATTAGTGTTTTTTTTTTTGGTTCTTCGTCAATATTTCTAAAACTACGCGGTTTAGCGTGAACAATGTCATAAGAATTGTAATCTCAGGAAAAAAGACAGTTAAGATTTTATACACACTTAAAAAATTTGTTTAGTAATGTATTTCTTAAATCTACACAATAATTGAAAAATGATTCATGCTGTTTAAAATATCTTTCTCTTAACGACACTGTCATCAACAAAGTAGTTCAAATTCAAACGTCATAATATTTCTCTCCTGTTTATCGTTAAAAATTAATTGATGGTCGTGGGCTGTATCTTTGTGTTTTATTAATTTAACAAAATACATAATCAGCAAAAACCTTATTTAAAACATGCGAACGGTTTTTGCAATTCTGCAAGCGAAATATCAGACAGTGAATAGGACAAATCGTTTGCTAAAATGAAGAAACAAAAAAGTGTTTCGGGAATTCAATTCAAACTTCAAACTGTGGTGTGTTTTAGTTAAATGATAAAGTACCTTTGGTCTAATTACTGGACTACATACTCTCAATAGCTTTGGTATTAATTACTGGACTACACGTGTTTAAACATTTTGTTTTGCTGAAAACTCGGAAGTGATTTAGTGCCAATTTGTTTCAAGGTTATATTTAATACAGTGTCTGCAGAAAGTAAAGTCTTGGATACATTTTCTTCAAATTTGGACATACCAGCAACTTGGCAAGAATTTTCCAATTTAACTGCATGCAAAATCATTCGTATAATTTTTACTCTACGCAAAATAGAGACTTATAGAGACCTTGATGAACGTTTGATGTCGACAAATATTTTCGATAATTGAAATATTCCGTCCCACTTCTTTTAACCGCTCTGTATATACATATTATATTCATTTTATTTGCCTTTGACACAGTAAAATCCAATATTATTACTGAACATAAAATACAGGAAATTAAATATTTTTACTTTTCAAGCGATCGAAATTAAATATTTAACGAATTAAACGCCCCGCTGTTTGAGGTCCACTGATCATATCTTAATTACATATCAGCCTTCATAGGCTAAAAGAATATTACTTATGCATCTGACCTTTATTGTTTTAAATTTGATGAAGAACATTTTGTATATAACCATTACGCTAAATCGCATAGTTTTCGAAATATTTGTCAAAAACCTAAAACTTGTAATTTACCGATTTCTCCCCACCTGGACCTCCAGAAGATGCTAACCCCTAGTGTTGGCGAAACGTCAAGAACTAATCCCAGACGACAACGGCCTAACAGCCCGAACAAACAGTTTAACAAGTTAGACGATGGCCGTGAAAGCCAACGCATTTTATCAGACACTGCTTACTCTGATATATAATCTCTGTAAATGGGCAAAGTGGAAAGAACAACAACATACAGATTCTGAGAGAACACAGAGAAATTGGAAATCGTAATTATGCGTAAACGTCATAAATACCAGGAACAGGTTTTTTGAACCCTCTCAGGTAACAAACGGCGTTCCAAAATGGATAGAAAGCTTTCGTAAGAGTCTAGATCCTTAGGACTAAGCACAGATGGAGGGTATACAAAAAATATCTTTCAGATCGCTGTGTGAAGAGGTCTGTTAAAACTTTAAAAGATCTGACGACGGCCCCGTCGTCTTTGGAACGGCACAAGCATAGCTTGGCGACAGCTTGTCGCGAAAAGGGAGATAAGAATTCCCGTTATGGCATATTTTTGGAAGGTACCAGGCTACCTAACAACCCTCAGTCGGCATTCATTCTGTTTCAATTCATCGAAGTAACAGCATGTAATATATTATTATAATATTAATATATTTGTAATAATGAACACATAAAATTACAGCATGCTGGTCCACAGCTACTTTTATCTTCCTTGCGAGAGAAATATTGGCCTCTCAATGGACACTACGTCGTTAGAAAGGTTGTTACAAACTGCATCACTTGTTTCAAGGCAGCTCCAAAACTTGAAACTTATTTAATGGATAATCTACCTTCTTCACGTCTTACTCCTTCACGACCCTTTACCCATTCGGGACTTGATTATGCGGGACCTTTTCCTTTAAAGAACCGTCTTACAAGAAACTACAAGACTATTAAGGGTTATGTAGCACTTTTTATTTGTCTTGCCACAAAAGCCAAACACTTGGAGGTTGTGAGTAGTCTGACTACGGAATGCTTTATAGCAGCTTTAAGACGTTGTACTTCTCGACGGGGTAAATGCGCTTCTATTCTTTCCGATAATGGGAGCATGAACTTTCCAACTTTTTTAAGCCTAAATATTCTGCCTTGCATGACACTCTCTTCTGAGGGTATCGATTAGAAATTCATTCCGCCGCGTTCACCTCACTTTGGTGGTATCTGGGAAGTGGGTGTAAAATCGGTAAAATACCATCTTAAACGAGTAATTAGCAATACGGTTCGCTCATATGAGGAGTTTTCCACTGTTTTGATTCAAATTGAAGCAATTCTCAATTTCAGACCTCTTTTTCCTACGTATAATGACCCCTCAAACCTACTTCCTCTCACACCTGCACATTTTCTGGTTGGATCACCTCTCACATCAATTCCTGACAGCAATCTGTTAGATGTTATGGAAAACTGTTCCGCTGTAAAATTTTAACAAGGTCTAGAGCCTTAACAATCTCTTTCCAACCTACAAAAAATAATGACAGCATATCACGTCGCATATCGTTACTAAGCACTAACCACTTAACTGATAACTACCCCTGGCGATTCAATATTCTTTAGAGCACGCAGTTTTTGAATTAATTTTAAAGCAGTTCACTAAGTTCTACTTGAAATTATAAAATCAGTAAGATTTAAAAATGTGAGATTAGTGAATAGTTGCTTTCAAAGATAGTAAATACATTAAAAATTAGTATTAAATATTTAGTTTTTCGACTGATCTACTAATAATTTCTGTTACAAAAATATACAGACCTTCTGGTTTCTCTCCCGTCCAGGCGACATTAATTGAATCTCTCGCTTTTGAGTGTCCAAATATTCCTTAATGTACAAAGAAGCGTCTTTTTTGAAAGGGGGAACGATGGTATTACACATATGCTTAACACATGCTGACGCTAATCGTTCACTGACGAATTCTATGGTTTTTCTTAAAGATTCTGGTTGACCGTTAAAAAATGCTTCTTCTATCTGTTGCTAGAAAAAAATTTATAGGGTAAAAAAATCTGCACAAGGGAAGAAATAAAGTTTAAAAAACAATTGCTGAAAAGTTTATAAAACAAATTAATCAAATATTTTTTTCTTCTTCTTCTTCCTTCTTTAATGTAGGCTATAAAGTCTGTTTCTTCTTCAATATTAGCCTAATAAATTGTTTAAATTATCGCACCATCCTTTCCTTGGTCTGCCAATATTTCTTCGTCAATTTGGTGACTTATCTCGTGCTATTCGTACTATTCTATTCTCTACCATTATACTAGTGTTCGTTCTACTCCTGTTTCCGTTTTGTCACTCATCCATTTATGTCTTCTATATTGCATGCTCTTCTTATGCTTTCGCTTCTCTCCCTATCCAACAGACGTTTACCTGATATTCGTCAGAGTATTTTCATCTCTGTTGTTTCGAGTAATCGTCTCGTTTTAGATGTCAGGTCTTGTCTCCGCCGTGTATGTTAATGTAGGTCGAATTGCTGCTTTATAGATTCTTGTTTTTATGTTTTGTCTTAGGTGTTTGTTTGTTCTTCCAGATTGTGTCATTAAGAGATCGCGCCGCTTTACTTGCTTTTAAGCTTTGTTGTCGTCAAGCTTCGTCAAGATCTTCGTAACTATTTATATCTATTCCCAGATATCTATATCTTGCTTCCTGCTTTATTATTTCCACATCAATTTCGATTTTACATCGTAGTGGGTATTTAGATGTTGTCATACGTTTGTTTTTTTCCGCTGATATTATCATATTGTATTTCTTGGCTGTTGTATTGAAGGTTGTGTTAATCTTTGGAGCTCGTCTTCTGTCTCAGCGATTAATACGGCGTCGTCTGCATAACATATTCGGATTTCTGTTCCCCATTCTGTAACCATGACATTTACGTACTGCTTGTATTATTTCGTCCATTATTATATTAAAGAGAAGTGGGCTTAATAAGTCACCCTGTCTGATTCCGCTTTGCACTGGTATACACTGTGTTAGTTTTCCATTTATCTTTGCCTGTATTCGATTATGTAAGTAGTAGATGTTTTCGATGGTTTGTATAATATTGATTAGTATGTTTCTTTTATACAGTAGGTGTAAGACGTCTTCGACTTGGATGCGATAGAAAGCCTTTGTCAGGTCTATAAAACATGCTGGTTTATTGTACTCGATGGTCTTGTCTATGATTTGTCTTAGTACAAATACATCGTCTACGCAAGATCTTCCGGATCTGAATCCTTATTGTGCATCTGATAAAGTTGTTAGTTTATTAATTTTGTTGGTTACGACTTTTGTGGTAAGCTTGAGTGCGGTGTTCATTAGATTTATACCTCTATAATTGTTGGGGTCTTCTTTATCTCCTTTCTTAAACATTTGTATCATTATGCTGTTTCCCCATGCGTCTGGTATCTTGCAGTGCAATATTAGTTTTTGTATAAGTTTTGGCATCTTTAGGGTTAACTCCTCCGTGTTATAGAGGCTCGTTGGTTATTTCGTCTGGTCCTGGTGACTTTCTATTTTTGAGTGAATTTATCGCTATCTCTATTTCCTGAAAACTGATTTCTATTTCGTGTCTTAATTCAGATTCGTTATTGTGTTGATTATTATTTGCCTTTCCTTTAAACAGCCCCGTCAGCTATCTTTCCCATTCGTTTGCTGGTATGTTATTGTATTCCTTCTATTCTGCCATTTCTTTTCGTTGATTTCTTATGAATCTCCATATTTGTTTTTGTGTACCGTAGAAGTCGCTTTCCATCTTTGTAAACTGTTCCCAGTGTTCATTTTTTGTTCTTCTTGCCAACTGCTTTGTTTCATTTCGTATTCTTCTATAGGTGTCTCGGAATTCTGGAGTATTTGATGTTTTGTACTTCGTGTAGGTCTCTCGTTTCTCTTTACATTTCTCTTTTATTTCTTTTCTGAATCCGCAGCATCTTTTTATGTTAGCCTCCTTTGGTACATTTTTCTTGTAGAGTCCTTCCACAAGGATTCTACATTGAATTTTTCCTCGGTGATATCCTGTAGAAAATGTTTTGGTGTTATTTTCATTCTTATTTTCGCTAGTAGTAGTTTGTGTTCACTCCCTGCGTCTGCTGAGTTTAAAGTTCGGATATCTAGTATCTGCTTTGGGTGGATTTTTCTATTAGTGACTATAAAATCAATAATAGATTTGTGTCTCTAGAAGTTTTCAAATGTATATTTATACTGGAGCTTATGGTCGAAAAATGTATTATTGATTCTCAGTTCGTTAAAAGGACAGAGATTAGCTATGAGTTCTCCATTTGCGTTGATATGGTTTTCATTAAATCTTTGTTTTACTCCTGGAACTACTTCATTTCCGATTTTTGAATTAAAGTCACCCATAAGAATTAAGGGTTTTTCATGAGATATTTCATCCAGGATGGCTTGCAGCTGTTCGTAGAATGCCTCTCGTTCCTCCTTAGGTTTGCAGTCCTCGGGGCTATAGATAGATATGACATTTAATTTTTGGTAGTTCATTGTGATGTTCATATATATTATTCTTTCCGAGATATAACGGCAGTTATTTATGTTGTCTTTAAATTTTTTATGTACAAGTATACCTACACCTGCTCGTGCTCGTTCTTCTTTCTTCACTCCACTGTATCCTAGAAAATATTGGTTATAGTCTCTTTGGCCTTTACCTTTCTTCTTGGTTTCTTGAATTAGACAAATGTTTTTATTTATCAGTTTTTCTATTATCTCTTGATATTTGTTGTTGAAAGACGTAATGTTCCATGTTGCTAATCTAATTATGGGGTTATTTTTTCCTTTTGTTTTCTTTTTCTTTGCGTGGTTCGTCATCTTAGGTTCCGTCTGGTTCCGAAGCTTTATATCGATTCTTTAAGCCTTGTGTTCTTTTACAACGGGTAGGATGCTGACCTGGCCCATCAACCCTCTACAAGACGCGTTTATGCCCTTAGCCGGGCTTGGGACCGGCTAAGGGCATAAACGCGTCTTCTGAGCTACTCAACCCACCCAGTCCTCGCGCTTATAACCAGTGGCTTATAGTCCAGGCAGAGTTTTTTAAATAATTAAAATTATCTGTAAAGGCTATTAGTAATAAACTAGATGTCCTATTACTCATTAGTTAGTTGGACAGAGACTGGCTTCTTGTTTTTGATCGTAGACTAGTTGTTCACACTGGTAGAACATTGCGCAATATATCTACTGTTGCACGTTGTCACCCATTCCGACGAGGAAATAGTAGACCTGCGATTTTTACTCCTTAAACAAATTCGTAAACGGCTAGTCATCTATAGACAAACCGTAGACACCTCACAAAGGCAAAAATCGTGCTACAGGTTTACTAGTACTGCACTAATCTTTAAAATTTTGTACATTATCACTTATAGAATAGATAGCTCGGTCGGTCAGATAGCTCAGCGGGCTGTGCGGCTGCCTCTCATTCGCTTTACTGTCGAATGGTTTAGTGGATGTGGGATCGAGCCCAAGCTCGGTGTACAGAAAACAAAAAGTCTAACGCAGCAGTTTAAAATTCTAGATGAATCTGCGGCTTAGACTAGGATATGCTGGGATCTGATCGGCCTATGGTGGAGCAGTACGGCAAGAGATAAGGGCTTGCGGCTTGGTGATACTCCTCCATAGATCGCTACCGGACAGGCGTAACGCCTAAAAAACCGGATATATATATATATATATATATATATATATATATATATATATATATATATATATATATATATATATCACTTATAGAAAATATGAAATAACTTTACTTTCACAATACCTCAACGTTAGAATAAATAAAGATAGCATAAGTAAGTAACAAGATAAGTTTTAAGCTTATTAATTAATATAGGTAACACTTACTTCTAATTTCTTCTTGGAAATTTGTTCTGAAGATTCTACAGCAGTTACTGGAGTAATATGCTTAGCAGCTAAGGTACGATTATTTTCGAAAGTATTGTTCAGAATTTTCTTAATCTCTTCCAAGTAAGGACAGCAAAAATACAACACATTCTGATCCACTATAGAAATACCGTCCAAAGTGTGATTTTTCCTTACGAAATGGGAATTCTTGCTCAAGCAAAACTTGGAATACTCAGTGTCGGGAAAATGTGGTAAGTCAAATAGCCAACCCAAGCAGAATTTAATCAAGGCGTTATTGTAATCGATGGTAGGTGATGGTTTTTCGTAGGAATGGTAAATTTGAAACAAAATTTCATACAATGAGAGGAAATAAGGAAGACGGAGGGTAATGTAGTCCAACATTGATACGTATTTTACAAGCCAAGGTACAGTGAGAACGACGGTGTTACTTACTATGGAAGAGAGAAGAATTTGCTTTACATCCAAAACCGGAGTTTTCTGAAACATATAAAATTACCAGAAGTGAGTACTATAAGGAGCAAATAAAATTAATAAAAATCTTTTGATACAATTGATAAAATTATTTTGGTATTTTATACACCAATATAATTATTCTTCCTCCTCAAGCATTCCTTATGCCCTATAAGAGCGTCGGATGGTGTTGGCATCTATCGTCTGTGATCTATTTTTTAACACCTTCCGTCTCCCTGCAGTTCCTTCATCTATTACAATTTTTTCCTTCTTTTAATCTCGATTTCGTAGATTTGTGCCATCCACCCCTTTCTTCCCTTGTTTACCCTCTAACACTTTCTTCACAAATCTATTCACATCCATTCTAGTTATGTGTCAATACCTGTTAAATTTTCTTTCTTCTATTTTTTTGATCTATTGATTCTCGTTTAAACTCATTTCTTATATTTTCATTTCTTTCCATATCCAGTTTCACCTTTCCTACTACTAGGAGTATTGGTACTTTCTTACTAGGAGTATTGGTACTGTGATTGCGTTCTTCTTCTTCGTGTGCTTCATTCTTTAAGGACAACCATCTTTAAGGCCAATTTTACTCTGTCTGCAATAGTTCTGAAGAGTTCTATTGTCGTTTTTCCATTCCACTTCTTTAAATTATTCAATCAGGACGTGCGTCGTCTCCCTAGTCATCTTTTTCCTTCCACTTTCCCTTGTATTACCAATTGCATCAATTCATATTTTCCAGAATAACAGTATAACTTAAAATTGTTTTATAGATAATACAATTACCATTAATTTGCTCTCTACTTGTATAAGAAAAATATAACTTACAATAGGTAATCCGTGATCTGATGATTTACTGGATGGTTGCTTCTGTCGGCAGTTGAAACGTAAAAGCGGTGTGTCTGCTTTTCATCTGCCTTGGTCGCCAGATGAAACGCAAGAAAAAAAAATCTCTATAATCTTTCGCAGGGTCAAATTTTGGACTTTGCGATGCTGCAGCGAGGGGTAAGACGTAGGAGCACTGTTGCCAGTTTGGATTAAGTGCGAATACTTGGTATTTGACCAAAGTAGCTAATTTTTGTTTCCTTTATACTGTTAAGGATCTTTTTTTCTTTTTTGTTTCTGATTTGTTACCTGTTGCATCCATAGTCTGTAATTGTCCAGGCTTCAACTCCATACAAAATGAAAGAGAAAAAGTAGTATTTCAATACTCTAGTTCTAGTAATGCATAATACTGCTTTGCGCTTCTGGCTATCTCAATCCGTCTTTTATTTCAAGGCTGAGATCCCATTATTCATTTCATAGTAATTAACTGGGTACTTTCTCTAAAGCTTTTCCTGTAACGTAGAGTTTTTGTCTCCAATCTTGTGCTTACTGACAATAATGATTTTTTTTCTTTGTGTTCAGAGCCATTTCATACTTCTTGCAGTACTGCATAATGGGATCAACCAAAATTTGCAGCCCTTCTCTGCTGTCCGCAAGGAGTATTGTATCGTTTGCATATCTGAGAATTTTTACTAGTGTTCCAATAATTGATATGCCTTCATTGTTGTCTTCTAGTGGCTCTTTAACCATCTCTTATGAGCACATATTAATTATGTATATATATATATATATATATATATATATATATATATATATATATATATATATATATATATATATATATATATAAAGGAGTACGACCGTCAAACAATTATTCAATAAGTTCCAAAAAAAAATAAATCTTTTGGTCACGAGGATATCGTTGTCTTGACATAAGTTGTCCCTTCCAATAAGTTGTCTCGACGCACAACTATGAAATGAAATACAATTACTTAAACGAAAATACCGGTAACTTAACTTTGTTTTCCGCTAGAATTCTTTAATTGGAGATGCGCCCTAAAGTGAAGTATAAAATATTTTTTTAAATGTTAACTGTTACAATAACAGCTCTGTGCCGGTGTGTTTTGTCAATTTTTTGTTTTGATCTCTACACTTTACTGTTAATAAGTTTTTTTTACGTAAAATGTGACGGATTTTCCTAGTGCTTCGCAGTAGTTTTTATTCATTTCTTTCACCTTTAAATTAAACTTTTTCTTATGGTTATACATGAATTCTACGACATATGAACAATTAAGCTACTATTTCAACTTTAATATTTTGACCACGGATACTAAGAGAATGGTGTGTTTGTTTTATACCTTAACATTCTTCACTCACCATTCGTAAGTTATTATTCCATGTTTTTATATCCTTGCCTACCACCATTGTATTCTTTTAGATTGAACTGATGGAGCTTGTAAATACAATAAGCGAAACGTCTTCAAATACAGGAATGGAACTGTGACTTCCTTTTATTATTTCTCCTTTGACCAATATCCTCGTGATCAAGATTTATTTTTTTTTTGGAACTTACTCATTGAATATATATATATATATATATATATATATATATATATATATATATATATATATTAGTGGATTCTCTTGGGCTTAGGTTCATAAAAAAAATTTAGTTTGATACTAAGACATTTTTATATATTTTTTCCGACGTTTCGGCAGGAAATCCATGGCTTTTTCAAGAATATATATTGACTAACAAAAACATTTTATGACAGACATAATACAGTTTAAAAGTTAATCTTTTGACTTACCAAGCATGTAAAGAATCGGTATTAACATTTAGACGTCACAATTAAAATAATATTAAAACATAAGACATTTACTTGTAGTGACCCACTAAGTTACTAAAAGTAAAATGTATTTTAAATCTAATGTGTTGTTTATTGATGTTAGTTTATCGTTTAAACAATCAGTTATTTTAACATCATAGGCGTTCTGAGATTGACTTTTTATGTTTTTAAATTAAGTTAAAATATATTTTGTTCAAATTTTTGACATCTTTTTTATCATTTATTGCGTTATTATTTTTTTTTATTTGTATAGACTCTAGAAGCTCTCTCTTCTTCCTGTTGGGTTCACTTTTTAGGATCTTGGTTTTCCCAAAATCAAATTTATGTTTTTTTTCGTTTTCATGTTTTGTGAGGGCGGTTGAGTTTTTTTTGTCATACTTGTGGGAACTTTTTCTTGAGTTAAGTAGCTGACTGGTTTGTCCAATATAAACTCCAACACAATTCGAGCAGGCAATTTCATATACAATATGCGATCTTTTTAATAGAGCGGTTTTTGTTTTCAATCTTGTAAAATTCCTTTTCAAAAGATTGTGCCCTTTATGAGCAACCGTAATATTATGTTTAGACAGAAGATTTGCAATTTGTTCTGATAATCTTTTTATATAAGGGAGAGATATATAGTTTTTCTTTACCGTGTTGGTTTCATTGTTATTATTGTTATTGTAAACTTTATGCAGTCGCGATTTGAAAGTGTTGTCGATAAGGTGGTGTGGGTATGAATGAAGTGTTAGTGCTGTTTTTGCTTTTTTAATGGCCTGAGGTCTATTGATAGGATCGGATAATCTAATAGCTCTATCAGCGAGTCCGATAACTACTGATTTCTTTTGAGACAGGGGATGATGAGAGTTGAAATTCAGATATCTCGACGACCAGGTTTTTTTGGTGTACCATGAAGTAGTTATAGTGCTGTTTTCTCTATGCAATGTCAGGTCCAGAAAATTAATTTGATAATTTTTTTTAATTTCTAATGTGAATTTTAGTTTTTGGTGAAAGTTATTGAATTCATTTAGTAAATTATCCATTTTATCCTCTCTTACTGCACTCAGACAGTCATATATATATATATATATATATATATATATATATATATATATATATATATATATATATATATATATATATATAGCGATAGAAAAAAGGTATATCAAAATTTATTTTATTTAAAACAATTTCCTCTAGATGCTCTAAAACTAATTGAGCGATGGCACTGGATATGCTAGTACCCATAGCACATCCATCTGTTTGTTGGAAGATTTTGTTTTTATATTGGAAATAGGTTGACTTTAATGTCGTTTCGACTGCTAGCAGAAATTCTTCTAGAGGGATGTCTTTAAACGCTTTTTAATTATGTCTTTCGCTAAAGCTATTGGAATATTGGTGTATAAAGATACCACATCGAGAGAAACTAATTTATAGTTTGGAGGTAAATGTATATTTTTAAGTTTTAATTTCATGGTGATCAGCGTCTTTTAAATAGTGTTGATTTTTATTTATTACGTTGGAAATAATGTTCTTCAAATATTTTGAAAGGTTTTCAAAAGGAGAGTGAATGCATGAAACAATAGGTCGTAGCGGCACACCCTCTTTATGTGTTTTGGGTAGACCGTATATTTTTGGAATTACAGCATTATGTATCTTGAGTAGTGATGTGCAAATCAGAACTGACCCGATTCAATGAGCCGAATCTTCAGAAAGATCCAACTGACCCGAATCTCAAAATTAAATCTAACGGATCACGGGTCTGTAATAAACACATATGACTCGCGGAATGATGTAGTTCTAAGCAAAAGCGAGGAGTCAGCTGAACACTGAATCCCAAGTTCTTATAAACAATAAACAGATCCGAATCTTTTCAGATATTTTGCGGTCTTGCTCGTTTGAAACGAACGTGAATCGTGAATTGATGTTCGGACGTCGGTTGTCATTACGAGGGTATTTAGGAGAGCAAAATATGATTTATTTTACTGATAATTATAAGTTGTAAAATATTAATTAAAAACTATACTTATAATATATATTATCGGCAAAAAATATGTATATATTTGTTGGCTTTCCAAGTGATTATTTTGGTTATTATATATTCTTTTGCATTTCTTGTATTTTTGGTCGCAATGCTATTTGTTCAGAGCAAGTAACATTTATGGTATTCCCCGAAATATTTTATGGCACGGCGTATTATTCGTTGCATAATAATAATAATAAATTAGTAAAAGACCTACAAAATCTTTTGTACTTTTTACATTAAAGAGACCTTAGAAAGGTATGCTTAAACTAGCATGCTTAAAGAAACGTTTAGTTATTGATATATAATTAGCTTAAAAAAAATTAAATTTGAATTTTAAGTTTAATTAG